CCGACGGTAGTGCTAAGCAAACAGTTAAATTTTAAAAGCGCGGTTATAAGATCTAACAGATCTTCTTGTAGAACTATCAGTTACATGATGTGAGACTTACCTTTGGTAGGTTGCCAATGGCTGCTTGAAGCCTTAACTTGCCATCGTTCATAATTTTGTTCTACTTTTCGGAGGATTTCTGTCTCCATGTTATCACAAATTGTCACTGAGTGTGAAATCAGTCGATGATTTTCTTGTATTCTGAGTTCCACATGAATAAGCACGAAACAACAGACAACAGACAACAGCAAGCCTGACGCAGAACACAAGCGGTCCAGTGTTTGTCTTCTGTTCGTCTGTTTCGGTTCTCTGTCATGTTGCTTCATCGTTGAAGCTAGTAGGCAGACAAAGTTGAGATCTCAAACTGATGCTTAGGACGTCGTCTTTAGTTGTTTCGGCCTTAAGTTCTTCACTATGGGTATGTAAAGACAATAGAAAGTTGGTCGATGTGTGCGAGTTTCATTGAGGAAAGAGAAATTTGATGCTTAATGGTAACAGATGTGAGATAAAAATAGCAAGACTTGTTTGTACTGCGTAGTGGGGATTCAGTTTCACAGGAATTACACTATCACCTTCATATACGTAATTTCAGTCTACACAGCATGCTGTAAACGACTGCGGGCTTGATGTTTTTATACACCTGACCTCGAACTGTTTGATTATACTCTGTGTTTCCTAACTGATTTTCCAGGCTCTGTGAAAAGATCTGGTTGGAGGTTACATCTGCCATCTACATTTGGCTATTTAGGATAGGGGAGGAGGGAGCAGGGATGGGAATTAGTGCGTGGATAAAGACTACTCATATGTAGTCATGTGATCCACTTCCCGCCAGGATGATATTCGTCAACAAAGGTTTTATTCAGTTGCATGCTCGTCATTTTAAACTTGATACAGCCGGGTTACCATTTTAATGGTGCTGTGATGAATGAATGCTAAAATTTAGAAACATGCATGCATCCGGTCTCAATCCCCTTTAAAAGCTTTAAAGGATGGGAACATTCCTTTCTAACTTTTAAGTCTGATCACCAGCTTTTCTTTCCTATTCGCTGATCGGTTTCATCTGTAAATAGAGTATTTATTATTACTATAATTATTATTATTTTCTTCTGTATCAATACAACAGTACAATAATAGAAAGAACGTTTGTGTAGCTGAGAATAACATCACAAATACGGCAATGAATGTAATTTGGTACTCTACAAAGTTTTATACGGGGAGTCTCCGTCCCACACTCCTCACACCATTTTGACAAAAAAGTAGCCCTTTCACATGCTTTCATCGCCGTCCTGTACCATGAATAAATCGCTAAAAAAGTAAATCTTGTGGTCATTTTCATGTGGTGTTGATAAATTAAATGGTAGAGTCATATGTCTGTTCGCTTAAGGCCCTTTTAAACGACTAAACGAGAGATTCCCGACTCTTTAAAATACCTCAACTTGTGAAATCCCCTTTCATATACCTTAAGTCTGAAAAAGGTACCCCTTTCTGGCGAAGCCTCCCTGTATTAGTCATTATAGGAAGTACCCCCGGGAAGTAGTGTTCGCTCTAAAGGTCTTAGTGTAGGCCGTCAAATAAAGGAAAAACTGACATGAATCTTCCTTTCACATTGCAGGGAAGCGATAAGAGTCGTTCACCGCTAATGAGCTTTTACGAGACAAGCCTTCTGCACTACACTCCAACTTAGATCGTTCTGGTCTCGTTACGACAGAATTAGAAACTCATACAGAGAGTAAACAATCTGCCACTGTCTGCATCCAAGCTTGAGCACGTCACAAAAGAACATGATCAGCATAATGGCTATCAAGTGTTACGTGATTCATCATCAAATCATTTGGCGTTACTTGGCACACCGTAACGCGACCATTACACGCCTAGGGTACAACCTGCTTGGTGTCGTTTTCACTATTAAAAACGTTAACATTATATATTACTTGGCTGATTCCTGAACTAAAGCCGGCTTTCAAGTCTTAACCTGAATAACAACGGGCATCTTGAGATGTAAATTGAGCAATTCTCTTCGAGGTCTTGGATTCACCTGTCAGCGAATCACTCAGTGTTACCTTTTCGTCTCTGAGATAGCCCGACGCAACTTGAGATGCAAACGACGCTGAAAGCGCTTGAAATTTACACGTGCCAATGTCGTAGATAATTTTTTTTTTTAAGCGTTTCACTGGAAATTAAGAATTATACATGAATAGTCCACGTAAACTAAACCGTATGGAAAAGAAACATCGCTCGCCAGCGGCTGCTATGTTACTTGTGCACAAAATGATTGAAGGAGTAACTGCGCGTGTTTCGCGCCACTGAAAATGAGAAGAACCAAGAACTAAAAACTACTGCGAGACTTGTAAGTTGAAGAAGAACTGCACGAGATGGCATTAAAACAAACGTGCGATCGTAATTATTGCTACAAGAAAGAATAAAACTAAATAAGTTGTCTGCTTTGAAGGCATGGAGTGTTCGTATGCGGCCATTTAATATGGTGGCATACAATAAAGTTTCTCTCCCGTGTTAAACGGCATTGTTCTTATGCAAAAATGCTAAATTGTTTGGAAACGACAATATCGCCGACGTGGAAACGTAATATAAATATTGTTGTATGTATTTTCTTACGAGAGCCAGATACAACAAAGCGAGATATTGTCGTATGATTCGTCAGACCTGACTTTAACTGACAAATTGCAATTGCCACTATATATAGTTGCGTTTATCTCGTCTTGTGAATGAAATGCTAACAAATTATCTCTTGTCATTGTGAAAGGTTTGAAACCAGAGTACCAGTAGCTTGTATCTGAGTGTGATCGTCTGACCATTGGCGAGGGAAATTCTGAAAAAAACTATTGATGGTGATTGATGTTTCTACATCATGAGCACAAGTCATCTTCAGAGTCAAGTGAACAGTGTTTGTCAGTCGGTGGTGTTTTAAGTCTGGTCTGTTAAAACTGATTGGTCAGTTTAGCCGTAATGGTATTGGTTGCAAGACTCGTGTTAGAGTTTGTCAACAGCCATTGTACTGTTCCAGTAAGTTTCGACCCATCAATATATTGGAGGCTTTACACCATAATATATTGAAATTTATTGAAATGACGATACAAGCAACACTTGCAATTGCTACTTTACTGCTATCACTCTAAGGTCTACCAGTTTACAGCAGGTTATGAATATTCTCGAAGTAAAGCGTACAAACGTATTGCTTTTAAAGCACTACAGTTTTACCCCCTACATGGTAGTAAGTCAACTAGCGTAATGTTTAGATATATGTTGATACATTTTGCTATTATTGGATTACTATTTTAAGCCTTCCATCTTTGTTGAAGTTCGCACGCTTTCCGGCTTTACTGGAGGTGGAAATTCTTGTAGTACACCACGTTCTTGTAGCCATTGGCCACCAGAACACCACCACGGTTTTTGATTGGATAGCGCGGGTTCCATGACGTCACCAACGTGCCCTTCAAGTACACTTTCACTTCGCCTGAAGGGGAAGCTGTTGATACTGTCAACTTGACATGAAACCATTCTGCTCCTTTGGGGGGACCGTTAGGGCAGGTACTAGATACAGCTCCGTCAAACTTAGGTTGGCCTTTGTAAACATAACCTGTCTGGAAGCATCCGCCGGCTGAATGAGGCCTGAAAATCAGAAATAGCATAGCAAGTGGCATAATTAGGGAAAAGGTCTCTACGCAGCTCACAGTGCGTGACTATTCCTCACGTACAAGCAAATATATTAATGCGTTAATAAGCTTTTAATTGACGTTGTTGCCAAAGAACGGAGACCTTTATTTACTTTTTTATATATAACTTTTTACTTATGTGTTAACTTAACTTATATAAGGCTGTACTTTCTCACGTTTAGCCCTACATGGGTATGAATATATTGTGTAGCTTGTGGCAAAATATCTTAATTTCAAATTTCTTGTTTTCCATCCGTACATACCAATGTTGAGAAGACATACCAAATGTTAATGTCGTTATTGTTGCTTTAAGACGTATCGAACCCATTCTGAGGTTAGGAACTCAATAACAAATACCTTTTAAAAAAACCTCAAAAGCTATCCTTCCAGCAAGGCACTGGTTTCAGTTTCCACAGGAATTTTGATTAACCTTTGAATTTATACCCTGATTATTCAACCCTTCAGTTCGTCCCTGGAAGCGAAAAATCTCAAGCTGTCGGAATCGATCTATACCGTTACTTTCGATGCGTTATACTTTAGAAACATAACACCTCTTCGTCAGCCCAAACCATCCCCTACAGTTACCATGTGAGATTATTATATTATTGAAAGCTCAATTTCAAATAGATATTTTTTAAACCTGAAATAAACGAAGTCATAGTTGTCCTGATCTTCGATGTTAAAGAACACTCCCAGATGACCAGAGTTCACTCCGAGCCATCCTATGAAGTTAAACAGATCAACTGACAGCTGATAGTCTGTGGACTGTCCACCATCTTTCAAGTAGGTCGCTTGACGAAAGCCATCCAGAGGCCACTTCCCATGATCTGCATCGAGTTTGACGTAGTCTGGATATTAGACTGTCTTGACACACCTCTTGCTGACGTAAAATTGAGGGACGATTTTCAACTTCCTGAAGAGGACCACGTTCTGATAGCCATGGAACGTGAATGCCCCTCCCCTGGCCCTTGGAGAAAAATCGGACTTGATAGATGTAACCAGGTCGCCGGCGAGGTATACTTGCACGTCTTTATTGTTGACCTTGATTGATACTGTGAACCAGACACCGCCTTTCGGAGGACCTTTAGAGCACACCTTACTCTCAACAAAAGTTGGGTTTCTACTGGACATGTACCCTGTCTGATAACAGCCACCAGAGTTGTGTGGTCTGTGAGCGAGAAGTACAAATGTTAAATATGGGAACTTGCTTTGTTAAATTTGAATCCCTCCACTATGTTTCCCTCGAGAGATTTATGGGGCAGCAAGCATACAACAGTTTATTTTAAAACAAAGGCGCGAGATTAGTCACCGCGAAATTCAATTAAGCATATCGTCAATCGAAAACCCATCTTTAAAGTAAGGAACTCAAGCGATACATCTTCGCTACTCACCTGAAGTAAACAAAGTCAAAGTTGTTTTCATCCACAGCATTGAACAGCACACCAGGATGTCCACTGTTTATGCCCTGCCATCCCGCTTGATTCAGTAGCTCCGCTGACACCATGTACGCCTGGAATGATTGGTCAGCGGGTTGAGAGAGAACACGACACATGCCTTTAGTAGAGGTCGTCGCATCCAGTTTGTAAAATAAAGGATACTTTATCATAACTTTGCAGTTTGCCACAGCATATACTGTGAACTGTTTTCCATCTATTTTACAAAAAAAGGAAAGGACAATCATGTAATTAAACTATCACTGAACCATGCTCTATGCTAAGAAACTGATGGTGGTGGGTCCGAGGGGAGGGGTAAGATAGGGAGGAGGGAGGGGGTAGTTGCACAAAATAGAGTTGAATACTCAAGCAATCAAAAATTCCGGCTCTGCCTTCCTCTTCTTTTCTCGCCTAAACCGTCAACCAGGTGGTTTCTAACGAACGAACCATCAGTTTTTATGTTTGCATTTTTGTTGTTGTTACAGTGACGCTAATGCGGCTGCGCGTCGTCGTCGGAGTTTACTCAAAGTTCATGTTCGAAGCCCAAGGGACCTGCAGTTTGATGGTAACTTTGCTGACACTCTGGAGACTGAGCTCGAAGACCATGATAGCAACAATTCCGAAGGGAACTGATTTGCATTTTTTTTCATTGAATAAACTAAAATATCTCATACAAATAGTAATAATGTAATTCTTACTCACTTCCTTTGGGTGGCGAAATGGACATAAGAAAAACTTTAGTTTCTATTAAAAAAAAAAAAAACAATTCAACGCTTCCGTGCGCACTTCATATTGATGTACATGATTGTTTCCCGGGCAGCTTTACTCTCCAAATCAACACCATACAACTTTTTATCACATGATGCTACATGCTACAATATTGGTATCACACAAGAGACTATCTTGTATCCCACAAACGCCCAATCACCAGTGAACAAGTTGTGCTCTTCCTCATGGCATATTACCTTATTACATGAAATTTTCGCGACACGTTAATTTTGCGAATTTCGCGATTTAAAGAAAATCCCGAAATTAAACTGACGCGAATAATCTAGTGAAGCGAGCATAACATATGACGTGAAAATTAAGTGACTCATATTATGTTACTGTTGAGATATAGTCCCGCCGTTGCGTTTTTGTAAATTTTGACGTCATTGTACCTTTGTTAAATTCAAGGACATGTTAAAGTAACATTGCCAAGGAAATAGACTGTGTGTTACTCAAAAACGCGAAGTTGAAATGATTCAAAATACAAAATTGTCGGAAAACCGCGGAATTTAAGTGTTGCGAAATGTGCGTACCACAACATCGCGAAATACACGTGTCGCGAAAATTTCATGTAATAAGGTAGGTTACCATCCAGCGTTCGCCCAGCTTGGCCTTCCTTGATCCCCAAGTTCAGCGATACCACGAGAAAGCGCGGTATTGTAGTGGCTTACATCCCTTGGTTCACCTTGGCGCCGGCTCTTCTACCCCGCAACGACCGAAACAACTATACTTATGTTTGTTTTAAACAGCCAGCAAAACTATGTTGACGTAACCCCATTATCCGTCTTACACATACCGTGTGACACTTCTTTTGAATCACAAGCTACTGGACTGGAACATTGCCCAGAAACGCTGTCCTTTTCCCTGTCAACTTTCCAGACTAGTCACTTTTCAGTTCGTTCGACGTCACTCCTCAGAGGTTTGACTACGACTCACTTATTGTGCCTATCCCCACCCCCTCCTCCCCACACCATTGTCGTTGGATAACAAAACAACACGCGACTGAGATGCCACCTATCATGTGTTGGATGGTGACTTTACAGACCAAATACAAGATATTTGCAACCACGTGGACAAGCTCAAACCAACAACAGTCAGTACGTTAAGCGATAGTATTGACCTACATTATATTTGGCCTAACCCTTTTATTTCCATTTTCGACACCTTTTTTCTGTTTACTCCTCATTAACATATTGTGGTCGCAGCACTCTCCCTGCTACTAGGGAACGACGACGCCTAGGACGACGCCTAGTAAAAAGTGAATTTGTATTTTACAAGCGAAATTCGCGATTTTCTAGATCTGTTTGGTGCGCCAACGGCTCTAAGAACGTGCTCAGGCTAAATATGCAATGGCAGGGTTCAATTCCAAATGGAAATACGAAAAATAAGCTGTCGTCGTCCACGTTCAGTAGACGACGTAGAACTTGGTCATTTCACGTTGTTGTTTTGCAGAGGACGGCAAAGAAATGTACAAAGTTTTTTAACGCACGTGCACAGCTATTGTTTTGCTCATTAAACCTTTTGTTTTGTGACATTCTCGTTGCCGTCGTCGTCGTGGTTTGCTTAAGCTCCCTACTGCATCCGCTACCACTGGTCTACCATTACGTGAAAGCTGTTTACTCTGATCGCACTTTGTTGGCTTTTTGTTTTTTCTTTTTGTTCCTTTAGCAAAAGAAAACACTGAAAAAAATCATCTTCATAAATCACGAAATACTTTGGCAACAAAAAACAGCTTTAAATTTTAGCGAGTACGGCCCGCTAAATTGGCCAATCACGGCGCGCGTAGTAACTGAGAGATATAAGTAACGTACCGAAACTGTAGCAGATCGATTACCGGTATACTTGGCAACGAAATACGAAAGCATACCAGGAGCCCATGAGCATACTTAGTTTTAATAGCAAATCAGAGCGCAGGAAAACGTTTTCTTTCTGGTTCAGGTACAACTGAACTAGTTGTTCTCGCTGAGCTTTTCATCGTGCAACTTGTAGTTGGTAAAGGTAAAGAAACCGTCTCAACGAGTTAGTGAAGTTGACGTTTCGAGCGTGAGCTCTTTGTCAGAGCACTTACTCGATGTTACTCGATGAAAAGAGATTCATTTGCCCGCCAAAGACCCCCGGAGGTTTCTTTAGAAACTAATATGTGGAACTAACGAGTACTGAATGAGGCTGATTGACAATTGGCAGCAGAGGGGAGGGGAAGGAAAAATTTCTTTTAACCCCATCTTCCCCGGCCCCGCCCGGTACGGTGCAACCACGCCCTCTTCCATTATACCAAAACAAAAATATCCATCGCTCGCCCAGCTAAGATGTCCACAATACAGGCTATCCTCCGAGTGGGGAGATATT